TATATATCATATATATTAAATATATCATATATATTTAAATATATCATATATATCATATATATTAAATATATATTATAAAATATATCATATATATTAAATATATCATATTATATTAATATATATATATTAAATATATCATATATATTAAATATATCATATATATTAAATATATCATATATTAAATATATCATATATATTAAATATATCATATATATTAAATATATCATATATATTAAATATATCATATATATTAAATATATCATATATATTAAATATATCATATATATTAAATATATCATATATATTAAATATATCATATAAATATATCATATATATATATCATATATATCATATATATTAAATATATCATATATATTATATATATATAATATATCATATATATTAAATATATCATATATTAAATATATCATATATATTAGATATATCATATATATTAAATACATCATATATATTAAATACATCATATATATTAAATATATCATATTAAATATATCATATATATTAAATATAATATATTTAATATATCATATATATTAAATATATAAATATATATTAAATATATCATATATATTGAATATATCATATATATATATATTATTAAATATCATATATATAATATATATCATTATATTATATATATATTAAATATATATATATATTAATATATCATATATATTTAGATATATCATATATATTAGATATATCATATATATTATATTATATATATATAATATATATATATATATATATATATTAAATATATCATATATATCATATATATTAAATATATCATATATATTAAATATATCATATATATCAAATATATCATATATATTACAGATATCATATATATTAAATATATCATATATATCACAGATATCATATATAGATATCATATATATTACAGATATCATATATATTATATCATATATATTGCAGATGGCGGATGGGGGGGCAGAGATTTAGCCATAACTCTTATTTCATCGTATTTAGCAAAAATACAATTACAAAAATAATCACAAAATCACAAAGTTTTCTGGAGAGCGTACAACACACGTTTGAATGAGACCTTGTGGGTACAGTGAGAGAGCTATAGTTTACGACGCGCGCTACTCTCACTCCCTCTTGACAACTTTGTTCGTAACTTGGAAGTTCGCAAGTAGGGAACCACCTGTATATAATATATGATGTATATAGTATATGGCATCTATAAAATATATATTACTTATAATATATGTAATCAATATATACATATACATATATATATGTATAATATATGATATATATAAAATATATAATATATATAATATATAATACATATAATATATATATATATATATATATATATATATATATATATATATATATATATATATATATATGAACTATATAACATATATAATATATATATATATATATTTGTATAACATATATAAAATAAATATATATAATATATATATCTCATGTATAACATAAATATCATATATATAATGTATAAACAATATATATATATATATATATATATATATATATATATATATATATATATATATAATATATATATATATATATATATATATATATATATATACATAATATAATGTATATATATGTATATGATATATATATGTATATGATATATGATATATATATAATGTATATATATAATATATATATATATATATATATATATATATATATATATATATATATATATATATGTATATGACATACGATATATATATAATGTATATGGTATATTTGTAAAACATAATATGAATTATGATAATATATACAATCCATTATATTTATGTGTGTATATGATATACATCTTATATATGCTATACATAAAATATGTATATACACACAATCACATCTTCAATCTACAGTATACTCTAGATGACGATTTAAAATGTGGTTTGGTTAGTTTTAATAGGATTGGAAATCAGAAAATAATCCTGGTTTTTGTTTTCTTTAATGATATTTGACAAAGATATCACATAGTCACCCTCTGACAAACCACATTATTTGGAATTTGTAGTAAATTAAAAGTTTTCAGTCAAATTTCATAGAAATGGCAAACAAATTATTGTATATTCAGATACAATCATATGACGTTCCCAAAGCTTTCCCAAACCATCTAGTTCCCCAGGTCGTCCCTCAAATCCCAGGCCCCAAGATCATGTCCTAGGTATAAAATACTCCAGAAACCTGCCTTATCATTAAACCTTCAGGATAGTACAGTGGTAACGCGCCGGTCTCTCATCCGAGGGGTTGGCGGTTCGCGCCCGACCAGGTGTGAGAAGTTGCAATTGTCGCCCTGAGGTAATTGCTGTGGCTGGGCACCACGGCGGGTAAAGACTAACCTCTGTTGCACTAGCTGACACACGCTTCGCATATCGGACATGTCCTCATCCTTGCCCCAATACTTGATTTCTTTACAGTAAAAATACTTTGGGCTTTGTTCGGCCGATCCCGCTTCCTGTGCCTCTGCTCAAGGCAACCTCGCGCTGGAAGATCAGCCGATATTTGTTTTTGCTGATCATTGACGTACACGCGAATTCAGTAACGTCACTACTAGGATCGATAAATAGGTTTGTTTAACCCTCTTTCTTGGAAAGAGGAAGAATGGCAGCTTTATTCATAAGTGGATTACAAAGAAAATACTTCGAAAAGCTTTTACTCCTCTATCAGAACATTGACATCAATGTGCGAAAAGTACTGATGAAATTTTCGTTACAGGAAGATGAATCTGGTGTTTAAAAAAGTCTGAATTGCAGCTTAGCTCATGTTTTTCACCTCTTTTCACGCTTTAAACAGCCTGGAGCCTCAGTTCGTTTTTTTTTCAAATGCTCTCTACATAACTATGATTCCAAATGGTTTAATAACTATTACCTCTTAGGGTTTATTTTCTCTCATCTACTTTTATCTAATCAACTGAATATCAATGGATTTACTCTGGCATAGCTTGTTTTCCTTTATACAGAAGGTGTGAACAGTGTTTGGTTTCCTCTGGGTCTTCAGTACGTGGGCCTTTACAAATGAAGGTAATGATAATGATTTTGTGTTAGTTTTAAAGAGGGAAGACAAACTAACAAAATTTGGCACTAACACTAACAACAGTAGCAATAACGATGATAACAATAATAATGTTATTAATAATAGCAGTAGTAATGATAATAATTATAACCATAGTAATAAAAATGGTAACACTAGTTATAACATTAATAATGATATTGTTGAAATGCAACAATAAGGATAAGAAAATAACAATCGAATGCAATTAATATTCAATATATTGATAATTATGATAATAATAATCTTAATGATAATAACAATGATAATACCTATGACAACAATAACAAAAACAATGATAATACCTTTGATAATGATAACAATGAGAATAAAAACAAGAAAATAATAATACTAATGATAATAATAACAATAACGATTAAAAAACAAGAAAATAATAATGATAATAACGTTAAAATTAAGAAGAACAATGCCAACCATAATAACAAGGTCCAGCAGAGGACCCTCAAGGACCCTATAAACCCCTATGAACATGATGTTGTTCACCTTGTTATCTTGAATGAAGAAAACGAAGGGCCGGTTGCATGTGAACGTCGTCTTTGGAGGCATTGGTCTAGACTTACTCCGAAAGAACGCCGTCGCCGCTGCCGCCTCTGCGCCTTCTTCGTCCACCTCTATAAGGGCCTTGTGGATCGCTCCATTCAGCATGATTCCTCCAACAGGCGTGATGTTGGTCAGATCGGCGGTGGAGGAGAAAAGGTCACGTATTCCCATTTTCTGTAAAGTCTGGAGAAGGAAGGCGTGGATACGATGCTATTTTAAAAAGGTATATTGCGTCATGATTTCGCTACAAGAAGCAAAGCAGTTTTTAATAGGTTATCAGTATTTCATTTCATTAAATAATCGTTTATTGCTCTCTCAGTTTAGATATAAACAAGTAGCAAGACTAAGTTTAATCTTTCAGGGATATCTATTGCCAATATGTAACGATTTTGCAACCAGATGCGCAGAATCTTTACTGAAGTAATGGTATGATATGTCTAAGCTCAAAACCCTTTGCGGGCCAATTTTCCCTTCAGCCACCATCTTGAGGTCCAACAGAGGTTTACATCTAACTTCCCAGGATTACGATACTTAAATGTATTATGTGCTTGAACGTTAAGTTTATTTTACCTATCACATTTTGAATGGTGATCCTAATGGTAACACATTATATATGACTTTTTTTTCATGACGATCCTAACTTTACAGGCTAATAACTATGGCAGGCCTTGGGATCAGCACAGTGGACACACTTAGCACGCGTACCATATATATATATATGTGTGTGTGTGTATACATATATGCATGTATTATAATATAAATAAATCAATAAGTATATATATATATATATATATATATATATATATATATATATATATATATATATATATATATTATATTATATATGAATATATATACATGTATATATACATATAAATATGTATATATATATAATATATATATATATATATATATATATATATATATATATATATATATATCAGACATAATAGAAAAGACAATAGAAAAAATAAGAATGTAAGTGATGAATGTAAAAGTAAGTATTTGCTAAATTAATCATTCAAAACGGCCGCCTGTAAGACTGAAACAGCAAATATCCCGCGGCTGCTCTAGTCTTATTGAGGAAAGTTCCCTGCTAGTATTATATATATATATATATATATATATATATATATATATATATATATATATTATATATATACACACACACACATGTATAACGTTTGTGATAGCAGATTATACCTCAATTTGTGAGTTCAACAGCAACCCGATAATATTCAATTACATTTAATATGAAATATCTATCTATCCTTGATCTACTTGTTTGCTAGAAATTTCATTCCATTTTTAATCACTAACCAGACTTAACTAGCCTTATTCACTAAAATACCAGTCTTTGCTAACCTTATTCAGTAAACTACGACCCTTTGCTTACCATTCCCAAACTACCAGGTTCGCTTACCTTGCCCTAATTCAAACATACCGAAATGAGTTCATCCCCGAGAGTACTCTCCACGCTGAACTTGGGAAACTTGACTCTCAGCGAGACGGAGGGCATCGCCTTCAACTCGGACACGAGTACCTTGGGCTTCAGGCGTTGGACCAGCCTGTCCACCTCTTGGCCCCTTCCACTTCGCGGGAGGAGCACCACCATGGACACGGTCGCCCTGTAGGGCATCTCCAGCACCTGGGCGTGAAACTTCTCGAGTCCACTGGAAACGGAGTTGGACATATTTGAAGTTCGTGATAATAACAGGTGATTCATTTTACGATTTCCTTACATTGTAAGGTAACTTGTTCTGTGTGGAATTATGTACATGTTCCATAAAGAGAGAGACACCTAATGACACATAATTGATTTTGATTTGCAAATCGATACAAACGCAATGAAATGGAAAAAAAATGTAATAAACGGAAACTGGACACAAGGAAAGGTAGGGAGGTTCATTTTGTATAGAAGAACTCCCATACATTACCATATTTGAACCTTCTCGTTTGCGACATCATATCCACTTGGACAGACTCTTCCGGGGTTACGAAAAACTTGTCCTTGTGGGTCCTTTGAGGCTTGAACGGGTATTTCCAAAAGCCTTTGAAGTAGACGGCGTTAGTTAAACCATTTTAGCGTCTTTAACAAAGGAGGGTTCTATAAGCTTTGTTATTTTTCCTCGCGTTTCGGCGTTGATGAAGGCATTGATGTCAGCAGCGGCGGCGTCGGGCTGATGGCAGATTCAGGTTTTGATTATTTCGGTCTCTGGAGTTTAAAGAGCCTTTAAAGAAATGTATCTGTTAAAAACTTGAAAGGATTTTTTTTTGTACAAGGGTCTCTTCTGTACGCGTCATATAAGTTATACTGTGTTCGGAACTGCTCGTCTTGCTCGTCCAGACACCTTGTCCAGGACCAGCAGGACAAGTGGGCCGCGTTCGGCACCTCCAAGACCCTTTCTGCCCAGAATGCAACCGGCTCCAATGTAAACATTTTTTTTTTTTATTTTTATTTATTTATTATTATTATTATTATTATTTATTATTATTATTATTAGCCACGCTGCATAGGTTTTGATGCATATTTAACACCTGCAACTGACAAACAAAAAATATCCTTTGATAACACCAATAAGGGTCATAAATTACCCACCAATATCTTGTGGTTACCTACAACTGTCAATGTTTACATACAAAATCTATTGACGTCATCTCGTCCTGTTCGCCCAGGTTCGCAGGAGGGCGAGTTGGACGAGCTAGAATACTTGTCCGGGACGAGATTGTGGAGTTCCGAACGGTCAAAACATCTTGTCCAACTGGGCTGGACGAGATAGACGAGCAGTTCCGAAACGCAGCGTTAAATCCAGATTAGAGTTTCATCCAAATCCACTGTACTTTCACAGATGTAGTACACACTACCAGACGCACGCGTCCATGCGATTATCAGTAAATTTGCTCTTTTCAATAAGAGCGGTATTTGTAGTCGATATTAGCAGTCAAACTATTTGAGTTTCATATCACACGCTAAAAAAAAAAAAAATATATAATATATATATATATATATATATATATATATATATATATATATATATATATATATATATATATACACATATACGGTAGTCTTATAGCATGAGGATGTGCATTTGTGTTACGACAAATAAATCCATATAAAGGGAACAGAAATGTAGGTGTCAAACGAAAGATACATCAATTTATTTTCGCAGGAAAATGATAAAATTTGCACGCAGTTTTGAAGGCACTGTAATATAAAGATTCAAAAGGTTTGTTATTGAACAAACGTGATGTTATTGAAAGCGTTCTTTTTTAAGTCTACTGATATGATACATACGTTGGGATTGTTTTTCCAGCCTGGATATAACATTGCCTTTTCTGTATTTGTAAACTCTTTGTGGGATTTTCTTTCGTTTTTTTTTTATTTTTATTATTGTTGAGAGTTATTTCTGCAGTTTAAGTATCCCACGACTTATGAAAATACATGTTGATAAATGTCTGTAGCATAAAAATGCCAGAATTAGTTTCATCAATAAACATTTATCGCAGCTCAACTTCATCCTTTTTTCTGGAGTTGACGTCATTACGTATCAATACCTGATTGGTGGGATTAACTAGCTCGTTCTTAGCATGCCAGGATTAAATTACGAGCTCAAAAGTGAATGCTGGTCCAGAGATGAAATAAAAGTTGATCCTGGACGCTGCCATTGCGCATGCGCTCTAGAGATCTGGATTAAACTTGAATACTGGATTAACTTTTATGGCACGTACAGAAGACGCCCTAAAGCACTGAAGAAGTTGGTTCATTCTACATACATTAAATGATCACCACAGAAGGCTTTTCTCTGTTACTCAAGATCAAAGTAAGTCTGCTGAACAGATCTGCCCTCTTGTACGGAAGGCTTTCACACTGCGCCCGAGGTTTAAGCTATAAGGTTTGAAGTGCTTCACTTTGTTTAAGGCTTAAAAGGTTTTATCACTGTGCCTCGGCTTATATTTCTGTCTTCTCGTACTAGACCAAGATTGCCAGAAAACTCCCTTAACCACAAGATGGAAACGTATCACAAATTGAAATACAATGTCAGGTTACAGAGATTTGTATGTATATACGAAGTGATAATGCAGTGATTTAATGCAAATGTATGTGTAGATTACCCTCTTTTTGCAGAGACATAATCAAAACATTAGACCATAACTTATAAGCTGTGCTTTTATATAAAGAATGATGTTCGTATCCTCACTGAGCCATGAATCTGTATCTACATGAGTTCTGATATCCCAATTTTGGATATGCAGTGATGTTACAAATGATTAATACTCCCCACATCTATTAGGAAGGAAAATAAAACTGTAAGCCTAGTTTCTTACCCTATTAAAGTCTGTTAACTTCACTTTGTCGTCGAGGACTTTTCCCACGCATTCTCGAACGGGAATGGACTGGTCGATGTATATCCTGTTAGCCGAGTTGATGGTGTAGTTCTGGTTTGCTTCTTGGGAGCCATAACTGCAGTTGTGTTAATTATTTTAGTAGAAATTATTATCTGATAATGTCATTACTTGCATTATAAAATCATGATCCTTTTTTATCATCAAGGTTTTATTCATGTCCATTTCTCTCTCTCTCTCTCTCTCTCTCTCTCTATATATATATATATATATATATATATATATATACACACACACACATATATATATATATGTACACACACATGTATATATACATATATATATATATATATATATACAAGTATATACATTTATATACATATATATGAAAATGAAGAAAGCAGTAATATGAAATGAAAAAATTTTTTGTCGTTGTTCTTCATAATTTTTGTGTACACGTTTCTGTGTTTGTGTTTACACGTACACACACACACACACACACACACACACACACACACACACACACACACACACACACACACACACACACACACACATATATATATATCCATCTACCTACCACCTCTTAACGTTCACTCGGTAGGTTTAATCGCGTCAACCCACTCACCGCCGTTCGAGGGCCCTGAACAGGGCGAGCGTGTCCTCCCTGTTGGTGAGCCGCAGAACCTGCTCCAGCTCCGCCTTCGTCTTGCCTCGGGAGCCGAAGTAGGCGAGGACGAGGGCGCTCCAGACGCTGAAGGGCGAGATGAAGAAGTTCCCCGACGGAGGGAGAGCCTTCTGGAGTAAGTCAAGGTTGAAGGGGTCGACTGCTTGAGAATCGGGAGCTGCGGGGCGGCGAGGTGTCGAGGAGGAGAGGCACTGACAGCTGGCCCGCGACAGGAGGGCGAGGGCGGGGAGCAGCACGCACACTCTCATGGTTCTGAAAGGTCACGCACACACTGGTATTTGAATATAGAAACACACGCAAACACATATGTATGTGTATATTTGAATATAGAAACACACACGCAAACACATATGTGTGTATATTTGAATATAGTATATGTGTATATTTGAATATAGAAACACACACGCACATATATATAATATCTTCGTCAAAATATTATTTATTTCTAACTATAGACAAAAGCGAGCCAGATACATTAGCACTATTAAGATATCCGGTCTTATTATTTTGACGCAATGAACACGGTTTAGAAACAAGTGACTCAAACACGGGTTGCAGTATACGCAAAACTATGGGTTGCACAGGAAACATATAACCGATATTGCAAGTTCGCCTAACATTGTAAATACCTTATGAGGTGGGAGGCAAAATGCTGAGAGGAGCGGCGCAATATCTTTCAGTCACCTCAACACATCAGCAGTCAACAGTTACCATATGCGATTTGCAGTACCATAAATTCCTTACGAAATCGGAATATTCCCATAACACAGAAAACACCAAAGATGGTCTGTGGTGAGACTTTACCAAGCTACAGATTACTGAGGTAGCGAGGCTGTTCCTGTGAATATTTTACTACCCCTCTACATCTGCTTTATTCATAATTCCATAATAATGATACAATGAAACACATACCGTACTTTATTGTCTTTTATGCTCTTTGGTGCCACGCATCTCTGTGTAAGTGTACATTTGTTACAAAACTAAGATTTAATTAATACACTACAAATCTGAACTATTATGAAAAACCTGTACTGAATTTGATCACAAAGAGATACATGTTTTGGGGATTTGATTCATGAGATTTTAACATCGTCATACAGATGAAACGTCTGATCATACAGGGTGTCCTATATTTACTGTTAATGAATGGTTAGTGATATGATCATCATATGTTAACCACTTTCAATATGTTATGAAATTATCTTGAAATTCTGTGTGCGAGACGTTTGTTAAAATTGTGCGAGGCCCGACCCAATGAATATTCATACATAAAGACATGCAAATAAAGGCTTATTTCTTTATCTATCTGATAGATATACATTTATTTTATCTATCTATCCGGCAGATATGCATTTGTCTGTCTACATTCATATTCATAATAATTAGGTCAGGCTTCGCACAGTATTAACAAACCGGCCGATGATATACATCAGCATACAGATCATACAAAACACCGGTACACAGTGCTCACCAAGAGAGTCTCGACACCAGTACCAACGCAGCGACCTAAAGTGACAGACGAACGCGAGAAGTCTCACGCAACGCACTTTCACCTACTAATGAGGGCGCCTGGGACTCACGCTGATATACATCGCAGAGTCGTGCAATGCATTATAGAATAAACACATTACAGATGCCAATTGATATTCTCAAAACAAAAACACAAACAGCGTTCATTTAATTGTAATTAAAACGGGAAACGAATGTTGCAAATTCGGGTCACGTTTACATTGCAATGATGCTATTTGACAGCAGGACATGCAGCGAGAAACGTGATTTGGAATTATAAACTAAGTGTTCGTTAATACAGATAAATTCTATGTTTCGCTTTCTCCAATGAAAAAAACAATAACCACAACAATAGCAGTATAGATTACAAAACTAAAACAATAATAATGAAGGCAAAAACAACATTGGTATTAACAACAACAATGCCAACCATAATAATAACAAAGGTCCAACAGAGGATGCTCAAGATATTTTATGTCATGATTTCGTTACAAGAAGAAAAAAGTTATAATCTATCTGTACTCCATTTCATCAAATAATCGTTTTTTCGCTTTCTAATTTTAGATTTAAAATAGTAAGGCTAAGTTTAATCTTTAAAGGATATATACCACTGTGTACCGATATATTATATATATATTACCAACCTCTAGCGATACATACATATATATACATATATATATAGTGTATATGATATATAATGTGTAGTATATATAATACACAGGTAGTCCGCGTGTTACATGTTCCGTTCCAGTAGGCTGTCCGTAAGTACGTATGTTCGTATGTCCGTAGTAGGGCGTACGGTATGTTTTCATTACTGTACAACTAGCTCTACTTTCGGACGTTCCGGTATAAACAATGCAGTGGTTTTCGGTGTTTTTAATGTGCTTTGAACAACCTTCATCCAAATGCTCAGAAGTTTTTCAAATTCTGCAATCACTTTTCCACGTTTCTTACTGATAACAGTAGACTGCATAGGGACTGAACTTTTCACATGCTCCATGATTTTATCCTTGTTCTTGAGTATTGTACCGATATTGTACCGTAGAACGATTCATCTAGTACGAACGAAGATTTGAGATATCAGGCTTTGAAGTTGAGGATATTTTTCCTCCATTTTTATTCTTTGAAAATCTGATATCTGAGTCAACCTTGATGCATTCGATGGCATTCACATGTATTCTGAAGTGTACCCCCCCTTTTTCCAAAGGACTAATGGCAATGAGTGCACATGATTGTAGAAGTACTGCATGTCACCAGAGGCTTGCAGTGCTTCTCGAGGCATTTCATAGAAAATAAAAAACTGCTGCAGCTGTGATTGAGATGTATTTCTCATCATATTATGCTTATTAGTTACAGGAATAACATTGATCATTAGTAGTGCCTATTATGTGATGAGGGCGCATCAGGGATGGTATCGCCCCGAGGCATGGGACGATCTTCATCTCGCTCCGCTCTCTTGTGGTGACTGCCAACCTTGTCTCTTTGTAGTGACTCAGCTGTGCTGCAAACAGAGTTGCCAGCTAGTTACCAGAGAATACCAAAATGAAAAAAAAAAAAAAAAAATGTTGAGTATATTTGCACAGACGCGACACAGTAAACATCAGAGCCGGAGGCGGATGTCGGGGGAGGGGTCAGAGATTTAGGCCAAACTTTATTTTACCGTAATTAGCAAAATATATTACAAAAAATACAAAAATCACAAAGTTTTCTGGAGAGCGTACAACACACGTTTGAATGAGACCGTGTGGGTACAGTGAGAGAGCTATTGTTTAGGCCGCGCACTACTCTCACTCCTCCTGACAACTTTGTTCGCATGTACCGAAGTTCGTAACTCGGAAGTTCGCAAGTAGGGACCACCTGTATGTGATATATGATGTATATAATATATGGAATCTATAATGTATATATAATTATAATATATGTAATCAATATATACATATATATATGTATAATATATATATATATATAATATATATATATATATATATAAAATATATAATATATAATATATAATATATATAAAATATAATATATACAATTTATATACATGTATATAATAAATATCATATATATAAATAATATCACATGTATAACATAAATATATATAAAATATAACATCATAGAAACAATATATATAATGGATGATATATGATATATATATATATATGTATATTATATGATATATATAATGTATATGACATACGATATATATGATGTATATGGTATATTTGTAAAATATATTATGAATTATGATAATATGTGCAATACATTATATTTATGTGTGTATGTATATGATATACATCATATATATGACATACATAAAATATGTATATACACATGCACATCTTCAATCTACAGTATACTCTAGATGACGATTTAAAATGTGGTTTGGTTAGTTTTAATAGGATTGGAAATCAGAAAATAATCCTGGTTTTTTTTCTTTAATGATATTTGACAAAGATATCCCATAGTCACCCTCTGACAAACCCACATTATTGGAATTTGTAGTAAATTCAAAGTTTTCAGTCAAATTTCCTAGAAAAGGCAAACAAACAAATTATTGCATATTCAGATGCAATCATATGACGTTCCCAAAGCTTTCCCAAACCATCTAGTTCCCCAGGTCGTCCGTCAAATCCCAGGCCCCCAAGATCATGTCCTAGGTATAAAATACTCCAAAAACCTGCCTTATCATTAAACCTTCAGGATAGTACAGTGGTAACGCGCCGGTCTCTCATCCGAGGGGTTGACGGTTCGCGCCCCGACCAGGTGTGAGAAGTTGCAATTGTCGCCCTGAGGTAATTGCTGTGGCTGGGCACCACGGTGGGTAAGGACTAACCTCTGTCGCACTAGCTGACACACGTTGATCGAGTCAACATTAGTCGGCACAGGCCGGGCGAAGCTCAGCTTCGCATATCGGACATATCCTCATCCTTGCCCCATACTCGATTTCTTTACAGTAAAAATACTCTGGGCTTCGTTCGGCCGATCCCGCTTCCTGTGCCTCAACTCAAGGCAACCTCGCGCTGGGAGATCAGCCGATATTTGTTTCTGCTGATCATTGACGCACACGCGCATTCATAACAGTTTCAGAAACGTCACTACTAGGATCGATAAATAGGTTTGTTTAACCCTCTTTCTTGGAAAGAGGAAGAATGGCAGCTTTATTAATAAGTGGATTACAAAGAAAATACTTCAAAAAGCTTTTACTCCTCTATCAGAACATTGACATCAATGTGCGAAAAGTACTGATGAAATTTTCGTTACAGGAAGATGAATCTGGTGTTAAAAAAGTCTGAATTGCAGCTTAGCTCATGTTTTTCACTTGTTTCTTTTCACTTTTAAACAACCTGGAGCGTCAGTAGGATTAATCTGGTTTACAACGATATATCTTTTGTGAGGAAGGATTATGATTTAATAGGTTGATATACTTCATCTGATTCTCAGGTCACGTTTTTTTTTTTTTTTTTTTTTTTTTTTTTTAAATGCTCTCTACATAACTATGATTCCAAGTGGTTTTAATAACTATTACCTCTTAGGGTTTATTTTCTCTCAACTACTATTATCTGAACAACTTGATATCAGTGGATTTACTCTGGCATAGCTTACTTTCCTTTATGCAGAAGGGGTGTGAAGAGTGTTTGGTTTCCTCTGGGTCTTCAGTACGTGGTCCTTTACGGTATAGTTAGGGGCATAGAAATGAAGGTAATGATAATGACTTTGTGTTAGTTTTAAAGAGGGGAGACTAACAAAATTTGGCCCTAACAATAACAACAGTAGCAATAACGATGATAACAATAATAATGTTAATAATAATAGCAGTAGTAATGATAATAATAAACCATAATAATAAAATAGTAACACTAGTTATAAATTAATAATGATATTGTTGAAATGCAATAATAGGGATAAGAAAATAACAATCGAATGTAATTAATATTCAATATAATGATAATTATGATAATAATAATCTTAATGATAATAACAATGATAATACCTATGACAACAATAACAAGAACAATGATAATACCTTTAATAATAATAACAATGAGAATAAAAACAAGAAAATAATAATAATGGTAACAGTAAGAATAACGATAAAAAAATAATAATGATAATAATAGCGTTAAAATCAAGAAGAACAGTGCCAACCATAATAACAAAGTCCAGCAGAGGACCCTCAAGGACCCCTATAAACCCCCATGAACAGGATGTTGTTCGCCTCGTTATCTTGAATGAAGAAAACGAAGGGCCGGTTGCACGTGAACGTCGTCTTTGGAGGCATTGAACGAGACCTATTCAGAACGAACGCCGTCGCCGCTGCCGCCTCTGCGCCTTCTTCGTCCACCTCTATAAGGGCCTTGTGGATCGCTCCATTCACCAGTAATCCTCGAACAGGTGTGAAGTTGGTCAGATCGGCGGTGGAGGAGAAAAGGTCACGTATTCCCATTTTCTGTAAAGTCTGGAGAAGGAAGGCGTGGATACGATGCTATTTTTAAAGGTATTTTGCGTCATGATTTCGCTACAAGAAGAAAACAGTTTTTAATAGGTTATCAGTATTTCATTTCATTAAATAATCGTTTATTGCTCTCTCAGTTTAGAATTCAAATAGTAGCAAGACTAAGTTTAATCTTTCAGGGATATCGATTACCAATATTTAACGATTTTGCAACCAGATGCGTAGAATCTTTACTGAAGTAATGGTATGATATCTAAGCTCGAAACCCTTCGCGAGCCAATTTTCCCTTCAGCCACCATCTTGAGGGCCAACAGAGGTTTACATCTAACGTCCCAGGATTACGTTTCTTAAACTGGTATTATGTGATTGAACGTTAAGTTGATTTTACCTATCACATTTTAAATGGTGATCCTAATGGTAACACATTATATATGACTTTATTTTCATGACGATCCTAACTTCACCGGCTAATAATTATGACAGGCCTTGGGATCAGCACAGTGGACACATACATATATGTATGTACATGTATATACATATAAATAAATCAATAATTATTAAATATATATATATATATATATATATATATATATATATATATATATATGTATAAACACACTTATATATGAATATATATACATGTATATATACATATAAATATGTATGTATATATACATTCTAATATATGTATATATATATATATATATATATATATATATATATATATATATATATATATATATATATATCAGAATGACAAATAGAAAAGGCAATAGAAAAAAATAAGAATGAAGTGATGAATGTAAAACGTAAGTATTGGCTAAATTAATCATTCAAAACGGCCGCCTGTAAGACTGAAACAGCAAATATCCCGCGGGCTACTCCAGTTTGTATTGAGGAAAGTTCCCTGCTGGTATTATATATATATATATATATATATATATATATATATATATATATATATATATATATATATATAACACACACACACACACACACACACACACACACATATTATATATATATAACGTTTGTGATGGCAGATTATAACTCAATTTGTGAGTTCAACAGGAACCCGATAATATTCAATTACATTTAATATGAAATATCTACTATTCATCTTTTTTTTTTTTTTTTTTTTTTTTATCTCTCTATCCTTGATCTACTTGTTTGCTAGAATATAAGTCATTCCATTCTTTAATCACTAAATACCAGACTTAACTAGCCTTATTCACTAAAATTCCAGTCTTTGCTAACCTTATTCAGTAAACTACGACCCTTTGCTTACCATCCCAAAATACCAGGTTCGCTTACCTTGCCCTAATTCAAACATACCGAAATGAGTTCATCCCCGAGAGTACTCTCCACGCTGAACTTGGGAAACTTGACTCTCAGCGAGACGGAGGGCATCGCCTTCAACTCGGACACGAGTACCTTGGGCTTCAGGCGTTGGACCAGCCAGTCAACCGTCTTGGATCCCCTTCCACATCGCGGGAGGAGCACCACCATGGACGCGCTGTCGCCCCTGTAGGGCATCTCCA